TCCTCAAGTGCTATAGACGTTTCCATACCTTGTTTTTCACTTCACTTTGGCTTCAGTGTTCTTGAAAAGTTTCTGAGCCAACCAATTCCATCCTTTGCAATTTATTGCTGACAGGTTGATTTTATAATTGGACGTGAAATTGAGATTGGAGGCGTATATAAAGGTATTGTTGTATCTGTTAAAGAATACGGCGCGTTTGTGGAGTTTAATGGTGGACAACAGGGCCTCTTACATATTTCAGAATTGTCACACGACCCGGTAGGTTCTCTTTTTCCTCTCCCTCGCTATCAAAACTTTATACTGCCAAGGATCTTAGCAGTTTAAAACTTAATGCTTTTTTGAACTCGCTCAGTCATAGTAACTAGTACCCACTCTACAGGAGTCGATATTACCTATACTAATTTGCAATTGCTCACCCCTACCATGCAAATAGAGCTTGAGACTATTTGCAGAAAATAATCATGACCTTCTGGGATAGTATATCATTGCTTTCAAGGGCAAGTGTATAGTTTTTCTTTGAAACTTTGAAATTTAACTAGAATATTGCTTTCAGTCTGCCATGGTTCCTCTCAAATTTTTTTCATTTCTATATGTAAAAATTGTGTAAATCAGTTTCTAAAGCTATGTTAAACACATAAGTCAAATAGTTAATTGTCCTTTATGTACTTGAGAAACAAAGTCTGAGGCATGGAGGTTTAGGCTAGAGTGGCTACTTCTTCCATGTTATTGTATTGTGATTAATTTGTGTCTTTTTACTATTAGGTTTCCAGAGTTTCAGATGTGGTATCTGTGGGAAAGCAACTTTCTTTAATGTGTATAGGACAGGGCGTTCATGGCAATATTAAGTTATCATTAAAAGCCACCCTGCCTAGACCTAAATCTAAGACAGGCATTTCTGTTGATGCTCCTACTAGTCAAGAGGTCAATGTTTGGGCTGCCATTGAGGATGTATCCAATGAGCAAAAAAACCAAGGTGCTACTGTGGGACCTGAAACTAATGATTCAACTTTGAAGTCAGCTACACCAGCAGTTCTAATCCGAAGTGCGGCCGAGTGTGATGAGGAAGAAAAAAGTGATGCTCTGAATTCGAAAGGTGATAATGGATCTCAAAGTGCTTCTAAATCTGAGAAGAAGACAAGGATACCATCCTCACTTTCAGAATCCGGTTTTTCTTCTAGAAGTGCTAAGAAGTCCAAAAGAGGCAAGGATGCCATTCTTGACCTAATAAGTGATGATGCAAGTGAGCAGAAACATACTCCTGAAGTAGGCCTGCATTCTCAGATTGGGTCAGATAAGGATGATGCTACATCTGAGACCCCTATGAGTGCAAACAAACTAAAGCTTGGTATGAGATTAACAGCAAAAGTGCATCAAATTCGTGCCCTTGGTTTGGTGCTTGATTTGGGTGGTGGAATTCGGGGAATGTATCGTTTTGAGGTATGTTTGACTTTACTGTCTCAAAGTTTCTCTGTTATTTTCAACTTTCTACATTAATAAGTCTGCTTTATGTGAAGCCCTTAGTTGCAAGTTGTGGTCAAAATGTTTGGTATCTTTTCTTACCTTGTCCTTGCTCAGCTCTGCAAGTTATTGTTATCAATTACCCTTGCTTCATTTTTATGTTTCTATCGGTGTACATTGCTTGCTTTCCCTCTTTTCCTTGTTTAGCCATATAGTATTCACAAAAGCCTTAGCAAATATTATGATGGTCCCAGTAGGGTCTATTGTGCATCGTACGACTTTTAGATATTCATCATAATAGAATTTTGTTTATCTATCCTGGAGATCCTAATTCCAAGTGAAATGAAATTTACTTTTTTTGTGTAGCCTGGTATGAAGAGGGACTTTGAGGTGGGTGATGAGCAGCGGGTTAAGTGGTCAAGTTTTTCAACCAAAGGGATTGCAGTATTGTCTTTGGTGAAAGAACAGTAATTTAAGGCGCTATTATACCAATGTAAAGCATGAAACTGCAGGCTGTAAAATATGTCAACTAAGAAAATTGACAGGGAATCACAAGACACCGATGCTTGAAATCTGTTTCAAAAGCCTGCATTTCTCAGAGCACGTGCAGATCGTTGCTATGAGTTGGATCGTGATAATAAAAGAAACAGAAGGCCTCCTAAAATCAGGTAGCCTCCCGGAACAGGGTTGTTCCAAGCCTTTCACCTCTGGTCAGTTTTAGTCCTGTGACTGTCACGAATAGCTTCAGTTTTGGTGCGAGTTGAACGTCAATGTAAATCATTCTTTCATGGCTCTTTCCATATTATGTTTTTTTTTACGCAAACAACAAGGGGTTTTGGGATGTTTTTCTGTTGTGATAGCTAGGTCTCATTAATATATGTGTTATTTCTTCTCCTGATTACTATACACTTTTTGTATGAATACTAAAAACTCTCACTTTTACACCTTATGCTTGAAAAGATTTGCAAATGAGAGGTGATAGAAATTTGACTTGTCTGATATGAAAAGTGGACTACTATTTGGAAAAGAGTTGAATTGAGTTGCGTTCAGTGACAGATGTAGGATTTTTCATCTACTAAATATACCCCCACACAAATTATATTGACCTTGCATGTTTGATGTAAACGAGAGATACTTACATTGTCCAATCACCATTGAGACCGTTCTGAAGACAATAAACCTAAGAAATTCAAAAAGAATAAAATAATACAGAAACTACATGTAAATAAAATTACATACTCAGAAACTAAAGCAATATACTTTTATCATGACTATTTAAAGTTAAATATATATCATTTGAAATCGACCACACAAAAATACCTTTTCACTTCTTAGATAGGATTATTGTCTTTCTTGTTTTAACCAAACTAGTATTGGTCCATGTTGGTTGTTAACATTGCTGAAAGTGTTTGTTTCCAAAATATTTGTCAATTTATGAAAACAAGATAGAATTAATTAAAAAAGTGTTTTTCCTTTCAAATTAGTTGTTTTTGAAGATAAACAATATTGAGTACACTAAATAGAGTTAAAGGGTAAATTTGTAATCCCGATCCTTCTACTAGATCCATTAGATGATGAAACCCAGAAATTCAAATCACAAGAATAATATTCAAAAATTTCAAGAGAATCAGTAATTCCAATAAAACCTCATTTTCACATCATCAATTTCAAAGGAAAAAAGTTGATTGTTTGATGATTGGGGCAGATATAGGGGGCAGTGCAGTAGCTAAAGCGCTTAGCGTAAATCATGGTATAAAAATTTTGATTTTGGATTCTGCCCCAATTTTTGGGACTGGACATGTTCTCATATTAGTAAAGTTATTCATGCTGACATCTATAACTGCAAAGTGAATTAAACATATATTAGAAGTACATTACACAAATATTAAAGTTGAATCAGAAAAGAGAATTAAACCTGAATAAAAAAGCGTAATTAATAAAAATCATATAATGATCTATAGAGTGAATTATACTTATATCAATGATGAATTAAACAAGTAATCTAATAGTAACAAATCAACCAATAAACTGTAAAATGAATTAAATCTGCATTAAAAGTGTATTACATAATATTAAAATTGAATTAAAATAGAGAATTAAAGAATGAATGAAAAGCGTAACTAACGAAAGACAAGACAATGATTTATAGCTTGAATGAACTTATATTATTCATAAATAATACATATATTATATATGTTTTATAAATTATTTTGATTTGTGTCACTAAGAACATGTGATTTTGCCATATGTATTAAAAATATAGTGTATGTATGTTATAAATGTAATATAAGTGTGTTACTTAAATCCTTTGGTTGGTATCACTAAGAAGAGAGTGAAGTTTGCAATATGTATTATAAATATATTGCTCATGAATAAAACCTATATTATATGTGTCTTATAAATTATTTTGATATAAAGAATGAGTGACAATTGCAATATATATTAAACATGTATTGTATATGTCTTATTAATGTATTATTAGTGTGTTGCCTAAATTATTGTTATTGGTATCATTAAGAAAAGAGTGAAGTGTGCAATATGTATTATAAATGTATTATTCATGAATAAAATTACATGCATTATATATGTTTTATAAATTATTTTAATTTGTATCACTAAGAAAAAAAGCGATATTTATATGTATTATAAATGTATTACATGTGTGTTACCTAAAGTAAATTATTTTGATTGATATCAAAAAAAGAAAGTGAAATATGCGATATGTGTTATAAATAAAAATATATTGTTCATGATTTTAATACAATTTCAATACAATTATGAAACATATTTAATACAATCAACAATTACGATACAATTTCATAAACTTCATAATTTTTTAGATGGTAAGAACCTATCCAAAATAATCACAAATTCATAAAACTAATGAATTTTAAAGCTTTATAATGATTATCGTTTTGAAATTTCTAATTGAGCACATAATTTTGTACAAATTTTTTATCATGAAAATTTCTTAGGAAAGAAAAGGTGGACAAAGAAAAAATTGTAGAGAAAGATGAACGAAAATCTGCTACAATTCTTTAATTTCAAAAAATTGAAATTAGTAAGAAAAATTATATCAAAATTGATTTATTACCAATAAATGATCAAATATTTTTCTTAATATAAAATATTTATTTGATTTTACCCTTTTTGATTTCTCAAAGTAGTCGTACATCTGGGTCACACTCTTTCCGTCCCAAGGGAAAATTTATGCCATAAATTCGAGTCTTTCAACACCACACACCATTATCAGGGAAATTATTTGAAACATAAAATAAGCTAAGAGGTAAATTAATAAAGTCCAATAATCTCAATTTCTATAACACAGTTCAAATCTATTTTTAATAGATTCATGAATCAATAATATGACTTGATTATAATTTTTAAATAATTCAAATTTTGTGCGACGTAAATACTGTTTTATTAAAAATATCTCCCTACGTACCCTATAAGAAAGGGAGCACCAAGCAACTATGGACAAACGATGAACATGAAGAGCACATATATATATTAAACAAAAAAGAAAAGGACTGCTACTTCATTCCAAGTCAAAAGACGAAATACACCCAAAGAAATACGTAGCACATATATAAGAAAGAAAAGGTAGACGTTAGTACCCAGCTACAGTACTAAACAGGACTGGAAATAAAAAGAGTCGAAACATAAATCCTAAGAACTAGCTAGGCACACCCTTTATTAACACAAGGGAGACGACCGGTACTATCTAATTTATTTAACCCTTGGTCTTATACTTTGACTCGTCAATCTCGATCCCTTCACGTTGAGCACGCTCACCACCAGACTCGTCTCCCGTGCTTAGACCTCCCTTGCGTCCCATTTCCTGGTACCCTTCACTTCCCAACTGGTCCTTCCTCGTCTGCCCTCCTCGGCTCCTCCCTGGGAAAAAGTACATATGGAGATCAAAATATATAAAATAAATATATAATGGTAAATAAATAAAGAATACCCTCAGCAAGGTGCTCTTGAGCTTCAAGACTTTTGCCACCAGTACCACCAGGAACTACAGTTTCTCCTTCCTTTGCCCTCCGATCGAGTTCTGACCTTTTTTCTTGCTGTGACGCCATTTAATTTCCCAAACAAAACAACTTTATTATTACTGTTATTGAAACACGAAAAAATTTGGGTGCTCATTTATAGGGAGATAATGGGTGTTAAGCAGTTGACATGTGGAGGTTGACGCAGCACCAAGAATGACACGTGTTCACTATGCTTGCTTACACGCAACCTCTCATTCATTCCCCACAAATCACAATGATATGCTTAGCCATAGGACACTTTTAGTGTACATGTTTCCCCTTAATTACTCATATTTCCAATCCTTCTTATTGTACCAGCGGTGCAGTAGCACACGCACACTTATCCGGATTGCATGTCTATTCATTAACTTTGAAAAAATAATCATATGAACATATATATCTAACCTGAAAAACTGATAAAAATTAAAATATACTAATTAATAACACACCTATGAGAAACATAAAAATATGAATCACCCATAAGACCTAAGTTCAAATCCACCTTATCGGTATTTCACTACTTTTATTTCCCTCTGACAGTAGTGGCATACACCATTTTCTTTTTCGTTCTCTCACTCATGAGTACATACCAACAAAAAAAAAAAACTAATAACTTCTCTGATTTAATAAAATGCTGTAATTTAATTTGACACTGAATTTTAAAAAGTAAAATATTTTAAAAAAAATTTATGATCTTAAATTAGAATTATGTAAATATATCAAAATATTTTTTAATTTTCTGACCTTAAGCATATCCCGTGAAAAATTGAAATGAAATATTTTTTATCAAAAGAAAGAATCATTTTTAAAAAAAAAACAAACTAAGAATGATAATGGATCATTTTTTTAAAATTAAAAATAAAGATAAATGTTTAATTTAGGTTGTACCATTCGAATTCCAAAATTTTATCTATTTATCATATCATAAATTTTAAAATATATATTATAAATTATAATAATTAACTATTTAAAACGCATAAAAAAAATCAACTATATTATTAGTTAATTTATAATTTTATGAATTTGATCAAATGGATATGAGGGAGTAATTATGACATATTTTATTATATATTTAGTCAATTCATGATTTTATTTTGTTAGTCGAAGAAGCTTAAAATAATCAATCTGAAACAGATTTTGATATCAAATTAATTTCAGTTTTGGTCAATTGTTACGTGGCTATTTGAAATTTGATTAACTGTGCAAAATTCGATTCCAATTTTAAACGAAATTGCCTATTTATGCAAGCAATTGGCTATTATATGAATAATACGAATTTGGTTAATATGACATAATATAGAAAACATGTGCTACGTATTTGTTGTATGTAATTAGACTTTTTTCTTCTATTTTATTTGATGTATTTGTATTAATTATATATTTTCTCTGCCTCTATCTTTATACAAGTGATACAAGAGCTTTGAATACAAGTGATACAAAAATGAATGAACATAAGTTACATTATATAAGAGCTACTAAAAAATTGCCAAAAAACGACGGATAGAAAAGCGACGGACTGCGTCGCTCCAAAAAGTGATGTCATTTGCCACACTGTCTGTCACTTTTTAATAAAAATAATTATTTTTAAAATTATTTTACAAAAAGCGACGGACGGCATCTCTTAGTCCGTCGCTTTTTTTTGCGGATTTTTATGCTAAATATATATATATAATTAATAATTATTTATTTAATATATATAGAGACGCCGTCTGTCGCTTTTTAATAAAAATAATTATTTATAAATTTAAAAACAACCATGTTGTCCGTCGTTTTTAATTTATTTTATTTTATTAATTAGTTTTTTAAAAAAAAGCGACGGACGGCATCTCTTAGTCCGTCGCTTTTTGGTTAAAATATCTAGTCAAACATTTTTAAAAAGCGTACGGACAGTGTCTCTTAGTCTGTCGCTTTTTAGTCAAATATTTTTTAAAAGCAACGGACAAAGAGACGCTATCCATCGCTTTTTTTAAATTATGTTGAACCAAAAAGCGGGTTTTCCCCCCATTTTCCCATCTCTCTTTCTCTCTCTTCTCTCTTCTCTCCCTTCTCTCTAAAACCAAACTATTGCGCCGTCGCCGCCGCCGCTGCCCCACGCCACCCCATGCCGCCGTCGCCCTTCTCTCCTTGAGCATTAGTCCCGTCTCTGCCTTACCCCATCGGCGCCGCCACCCGTCGTCCCCACTGCCTATTTTCCTTAGCTTGTTAAGGTTAGGGTTTAATTTTAGTTTTTTTCAATTCTAGTAATATTTGATTTGTTATAAATTAGTATATTGTTTTAGTTTGATGAATTGTGTTATTCAATTGTTAATGTGTATATTTGATTATTGTTAGTTAGGTAGAGAATTTGGGATTTTTGATTTTAGGGTTTTCTTCTTAATTGGGTTTTAAAAAAATATGATTGTGAATTGAGTATTAGAAGATAGAACTAACAAATAATTAGAAATTAGAAGTTAGAAGTTAGATTAGTTGCATTTTCCAACTTTGAAATTCTTGAATTTAGTATGTTTGACGATTGAAGTTAGAAAAACATTCAATTGTATATGAAAGTTAGATTACTTTGAAGTTAGAAAAATATTGGATAGTATATGAAAGTTGAAATTAGATTAGTTGAATTTTCCAACTTAGAAGTTCTTGACTTTAGTAAGTTTGAAAGTTGAAGTTAGAAAAATACTAGATTGTACATGAAACTTAGATTACTTTAAAGTTAGTTTGAAAGTTGAAGTTACAAAAATTGGGAATTTTTAAATATGATTGTAAATTAAGTATTAGAAGTTAGAACTAACAAATAATTAGAAGCTAGAAGTTAGAGATTAGTTGAATTTTTCAATTTGCCATTGTATTTGTGCTTATATGTATTATATTGTTGTTGAAA